AGCAGCCTGTCAAGTGACATTACAACATTTAAGTCCTTCATTACTGGACCCTTAAAAATCACCAATATCTTGATCAATTTCACAAGTATGATGTACTACTTTCCTAAAATTATTTCATAGGCGAACAATTTGGAAATCCGGTGTTTTCGGAATTCAAGTTGTTCATACATTTCCTAGGTTACCATAGGAACGAAAATGCTATTCATAACGTTATATGACCTTACGATGACTTGAAATTGTAGAAACAATGCTTCTACCACTATACTAAACTCGGCAGATCAGTATTTGTTTTAGATTCCCTACCATCGCATAAGAAACATTCACATTTTCAAGAAATTTGCTAGTTGTAATTCAGACCAAAAGCTTCATTGAACCGCAGATATTGTGTGTGAATTCTGAGAAATATTGAAAAGGATAACAGCCACATAGGAATCTTTCACTTGTGAGTTTCTCGAGAATTGTTCGAGTCCAATTACTAAGCGACTTTTATTGCCATTCAAGAATGTGGTATAAAAAATCCATGGTTCACTGAAGTTCAACGCGAATTCGTTTAAACGCACCACGTAAAACTCTATGAAAGATTGATAAGAAGATAAAAAGATATTCTGCAATGGAAGGAAGAGAGAACAAACCAGAAATAGAGGATTTGATACGGAAAGAGATTGAAGATTTTAAATCAACGAGAGCCTCGATGTCATTCATCGTTGTTTCCACGGTGCTCTGCTCTTCCGATCGATTCTCTTCCACCACCACCATCGTGCTGCCGCTGAAGTCTCCAACGCGAAGAATCCTTCGCAATCTGGAATGTAACTCTCTCTGACGATCTCCTAATCAGTTTAACACAGTAAAGGGAGAGTGAACCATAGAACACGCAGAAACCCTAAATCAGATATTCTAGGAGAAGAGAATGAGCAGCTACTGGTTACAGCGTCAGAGAGAAGCTAATAGCTTGAGGCGCAAATTCCCGCCTTATTGCCGCCTTGCAAGTTCTATAGTTTGTATCGGATCATCCGACTCGATAACCGACCCGAATGTCGGGCACGCCGAAGGCGGCAACTATTTCATGGGCTCAATTTTATTGGGCCGTAAGCTAATGGCCTGGGCCGCCTTTTACGTCGGGATTTACCGCGAGAAATAAAATATTTTTTGGGCTAAACATATGCAAATAATAATAATAATAAATAAAACCCATAAAAAATGAGAAGTTTGAATTTTTTTATTCTTTCCGCGTTAAACTTAAAAAGAAATAATTTTTAAAATTTTTAAGAATATTTCCCTTTATAAACGTGAGATATGAATTATTTTACTTTTTTGATAATTGACATGTATTTATTGAAAATTCAATTCTAGCTGTTATATTCAAAATATAAAAAAAAAAAAAAATGTTTTATTAAAGGGAAAAATTATATTCACCGAATGGATGGGAAAACCCCAATGTCGGTTGAAGCTAAATTACGTAAAAAGGTTTAGAATAAAACAATGGAAGTAATTTGGGTCAAAAGAAATCAAATTTGACTATGAACATATAACCCTGAACTTAATATAAAAGAGGCTTCATCTTCACAAGTTCTCAAAATTTTCACCAAGAACTCTTTGGATCTCGAGTAGATAATATTTTCGAGCATCTGTTATTTTCTCTTCTGGTTCGGAATAATTATCAGCATCGCCTTTCTTTTCAAAGTTTTGATTTGTGCTGAAGAACTGTTCGCGTCCTGTGTAATCTAAAGCGAGAAAGATCGGAGGAGAAACCCTCGCGTACTCGCTATGACTTCTTCCGGAATCTCTCTCAAAAGCGCCGAATTGTCAGATGCCGTTCAAGACCTGAAAGTTTGCGATCAGGTTTTATTCTTTCTCTTCATTTCGAAGTTGATATACTTTCACGAACTTTCTTTATCGTAGAAAATCAGCTGCGTAAAACTTGGCGTGGGAATGGTTGTCTCCGATTTGTGTTGAGAGTTTTAATTAGAAGATTTGTGTTGATTTAGTCTTGTTGTCATTCATTTTCAAGATTTGCTTTTCTGGGGGGCTAATTGAAGTCTGAGATCGTCGGTTCAGTCTTGTTTTCTTTCATTGTCTAGATTACGCACATCGGGAGGCTTGTTTTCTGCGTTTATCATCTAGGAAGAATATGGTTAAAACGAATTGAATTCATGTTTGTACGATAAGAAGCAGAAGCAATTGTTTATGTTTATCCGACTGCCAGTTTGAATTGCTTCGTCTCCCCCTTGCGAATTTGGTCGATCTCCGGCGCATGCTTATTTATTTTATGAAAACCTTCCCCTGTTGCAGTCAGAGTTGCATATCTATGATTTTGTTGGTCTTTTTTCAATTATTTGCGCATACATACTTCGAGGATTGCTAACTTGCTGTACTTGCACGTTCAGGTGGAAATGTGGAAGAAGTTAGAAATCCAAGGGACGGGGCATGGGAGCCATGATGGCGCCTGTGCAATTTGTTTAAATAAAATATCCCTGCCAGAAACTGCTTTAGTTAGAGGTTGCGAACACGCCTATTGGTTAGTTCTAATTGATTAATCGTTTGTCTACTAATTAATGTTTTTTATGGAATGACTTTCACCTGCTTCAATACATTAGGTAATTGTTGATCTGTTTCTTTCCAGTATTTGTATGGGAATCCTTTTTGCAGTCAAATGTTGAAGTTCTATAGATGGTGTAATTCTAATGCCTGCTTTTATCATTTATATTTCATTTTGTTGCGACTATATGCTTGTAATGGAGATGGAGTGTAAAGTTCTTGCGAACATATATTCCTGGGACTCTGCTAAACTTTGTGGGAGAAAATTCAATGTATCCATATTGTCTTTTGTGCAATGTTTCTAATATTACTCGAGGTTGTTCGGATTTAATTGAAGAGGTATGCTGTTCTAGGCTTATAACCAAAGCATCTTGGAGTTAGGAAATTGTATGGTACTGAGCCTAATGGTTAATCTATAGTTTGATGTTCTTTGAAAGTTATGTCAGAAACTAGCAGAAGTCATTGTATAGAAGTTAAAATGCTTGCTTGTTTGGACTTGGATAGAAGTTTGTTGTTCTTTGAAGCATTAGAAATTTTGTCCTTGTGTTGTTTGTGGAATGAAGGTGACCTTTTATAGCTGTGCATATGGGCGTTGTCTTATTTTGTTTCATCTTTCTTTAACTTTCATGAAGTACGACTTGCATCCTTCGATGGGCTTCATACACTCAAAAACCCACCTGTCCGCAATGTAAACATCCATTCGAGTTCCTGATTGTGCATCGATCTCTTGACGGGAGGTATGTCCATTCATCGTTCTATGGACCTTTGATAGTTTAGAGTTTGAACTCTAGGTGGCCTGGTATCCTTTTTAAGTTACTGTTCTTACTATATATTGCTTGTGCATTGTTTAGCATCCATGACTATATGTTTGAGGAGAGCGTATGCCTACTTCTGAGAGCTTCGTGGTATGAGCCACTGATCGTTAAAGATCGGGAGGAAACCTATGATGATCCTGAGGAGTACTATCCTTACGAGGATCAGGACGAAGAGCTTGAGGAAGCTTACCTGGGTGCTTCGCCAAGTCTCCGAATCGGCAATCGGAGGTGGGGAGACAATGGATACGTGAGGGCAGGTCGACAAGAAGCCCGACCAGTTTTAAGGCCAGAGTTTTCTGGAGCTAGCTCATCACGGGAGCCTACGACAAAAGATGCTTCCAAGGATAAAACAGGTCGACGAGCTAAAAGGGCATTGAAACGGGAAGCTGCTGATAAAGCTGCAGCAGCTAAGCATCAAGAACATTTAGCTAGGTTTGGCCTGAATTAACTTAATGTCGAGCTCCTGTATAGAAATAAGCCCTGCGCTTGACCGTGTGTACAGTTTCTAAGGTTCATTTTAGTTTGCTGGGCGATGTGCCTTACCAGATGCTGGGAGCTCCAAAGAAATCTAAGATGGAGATCATAAATACCTACGAGGTGTACCATTGAATTCTTTATATTATAAACATTGGCTCTCAAAAGTAATCATAAAAGTATTAAGACTTTATCAATCTCTTATTTTTTTTTAGTTGGGAGTGAGTTCCACCTTGTTAATTTAAGTGAGGAATACTATTTCCATTAGTACGAGGTCAGGAATACTATTTCCATTAGTACGAGGTCGGGGAAGTCCAAAGCAAAGCCATGAGAGCTTATGTCCAAAGTGGACAATATCAAACCATTGTGGAGATATGTGATTCCTGTCCAATATCATACCATTGTGGAGATATGTGATTCCTAACCGGGTATCAGAGTCATGCCCTAAACTTAACTATATCAATAAAATTCTCAAATATCAAACAAAGAATTGCTGACAGGTATCTTTCTCCATGTCAATAGAATTCCTCAAATATCAAACAAAGAATTGCTGATAGGGTATCTTTTAGTGTTTGCTTTTCCGTATGAAATTTTAGTGTTTGCTTTTCCGTATGAAATTAAGTGGAAGAAGTTTGTCTATTAACAATTTGGCTAAATTTGTCCTCATTTTATCAAACTTGTTTGAATTAAATTCATCCACCCAACATTCATTAAATGGATAGTTTTTAGATAATTTGCAGAGGATATGAACTATACAAATTATACAAATATATTATTTATTTCTCTCTCAGATATACTTTCATCTGTCACATTTTTCATGAACCTAAAAACGATATATAAAACTGAAAAAACGTTGAGCTTTCGTGCAGATCACTCCGAAAATTGTGTTGGCCTTACTCGGCCGCAGCAGCCTTCCGGATCCGAACAAGGTTAAAAAAATTTAGGCCAATTTTCCTTTAAATTCAAATAATCCCACAAATAATCCCAAACAAGAATAGTCAAGATACATGTCTGCTCACCAATAAGACCAACTTCTTCATCAACCAAAGATTTTTAAATATCACCTCAAAAATCTCGTCTTGCAATCAACCCTGGTTGGTCCAACTAATAATCCCAAGCTCTCCTTCACTCTCAATGAGCCTTGTAGCCATGAAAATCCCTGCACAAGTTTGAGCTTGAGATCACCAAACAATGGCGGTTTGCTTTCAAAAACGATGCATTACAGACGATTCAACCACCCTCTTCTCAACATCCAACTCGCCGGAGGAAACCACCAGTGTTTCCTCCTCTTCTTCCCACCACCACTCCCCACCGTTACCCACTGCTTCCATTTCCATTAAGAAACTCTCTGTCAGGAATCTCTCATTTTCTGTTCTTCCAAAAAGTTCATTTCCCGACCTGATTCGAAGACCCAAACCCATTAACGTTCTCAGCTCTGTCTCATTTACAGCAAGAAGTTCTCAAGTTCTCGCCATTGTTGGCCCAAGTGGAACCGGCAAATCTTCTCTGCTCAGAATTCTATCAGGGAGAGTGAAAGAGAAGGATTTCAACCCCAAATCGATCTTAATTAACAATCAAACGATGAAAAGTCCTGAGCAATTGAGGAAGTTATGTGGGTTCGTGACACAAGAAGACAATTTGCTTCCTCTTCTGACTGTAAGAGAAACCATGATGTTCATGGCCAAGTTGAGGCTCAGGGAATTGGGTTCAGAAGAGATAGAAGAAAGAGTAGAGAGATTGATGCAGGAGCTTGGATTGGTTCATGTGGCAGACAGTTTTGTAGGAGATGAAGAGAAGAGAGGGGTATCTGGAGGGGAAAGGAAAAGGGTCTCAATTGGAGTTGAAATGATCCATGATCCACCAATTCTTCTCCTTGATGAACCAACTTCAGGCTTAGACAGCACTTCCGCCCTTCAAGTTATTGAGCTTCTCTCTTCAATGGCTACAACTAAACAAAGAACAGTGATTCTTTCAATCCATCAACCAGGCTACAGAATCCTCCAATACATTTCCAAGTTCTTGATTCTATCCCATGGTTTAACAGTTCATTTTGGAAGCCTCAAATCACTGGAAAAGAGGATCGGTGAAATGGGAATTCAAATCCCAATTCAATTGAATGCCCTAGAATTTGCTATGGAAATCATTGATAAACTGAAAGAAGAAGAAGAAGAAGAAGAAGAAGAAACCCAGCTCTCCTCCTCCCCAGATTGGCCAGAAGAAGCCATTGAAAGAGTTCAACAAGATAACAATACCAGCAAACAGATATCATTCTTTTCCACATCAAATTTCCTAGAGATTATGATTCTTTGCTCAAGATTCTGGTTGTTATTATACAGAACAAAGCAGCTATTTCTAGGAAGAACATTGCAAGCCATTGTTGGAGGAATAGGGCTCGGAAGTGTTTACCTGAGAGTGAAAAGAGATGAAGAAGGAGTTGCAGAAAGATTAGGGCTCTTTGCTTTCAGTCTCAGTTTGCTTCTCTCTTCCACAGTTGAATGTCTCCCCATTTTCCTCCAAGAACGAAGGGTTTTAATGAAAGAAGCCTCAAGAGGAGTCTACAGAATCTCCTCTTACATGATAGCCAACACCGTCGTCTTCCTTCCATTTTTGCTCGCCGTCGCCGTTTTCTTCGCCGCTCCAGTCTATTGGCTCGTAGGGCTAAATCCGTCGATCGAGGCCTTCGCCTTCTTCACGTTCGTCGTTTGGCTCATCGTAATGATGGCTAGTTCGTTGGTGCTCTTCCTCAGCGCCATTTCGCCGGATTTCATCACCGGAAACTCCTTGATCTGCACCGTCCTAGGCGGATTCTTCCTCTTCTCTGGCTACTTCATTCCGAAACAGAACATTCCGAGATTTTGGATGTTCATGTACTACATCTCCCTGTATCGGTACCCTTTGGAGGCGATGCTAGTGAATGAATATTGGAATGCTAAATTGGAGTGTTTCTCGTGGATTGATCAAGCGCGGCGACCGGTCTGCGTTCTCACCGGCGACGATGTGCTGAAGAACGCAGGACTTGATGGGGATATTCGTTGGATGAATGTGGGGATTATGATTGGGTTTTTCGTGTTCTATCGATTGCTCTGTTGGATTGTTCTTGCTCGCCGAGCTTCCACAACAACTATATGATTTCTCATCAACTAAAATTATGTTAATCAATAAAATGGTTTCTTTTCTTAAATCACAAACGTAATTCATAATTTTTTTTTATATATTTAATATATATTTATATGCATAATATATTAATAATATTATGATATAAATAGAAGGATTAAATAAGAACACTAATTTAAAAAAAAAATGTCGCATCTCTACTTTATAATTATATTAAATAATATAATTTTTTTGTTCAAAAAATAAAAATAAAAATAATTATGGGTAAGTAAAAGAAAATAAAATAATATTTAAAACTTTACATGAACACTAAAATAAACTAAAAAATTATCACCAATTAGGACACTTCTTTTATTTGTTGATGCTGACTTGTCCATTTAAAGGACCACTCGCTATTGTCTAATTCTTAAAACTTAATAAATGACACTTAATTCTTTATTTTATTTTATTTGCGTGTTTAATGCATGAGGGAAAGTAAAATGGCAATGATACATTAAAAAATAACGAAGACATTAAACTTATATAAAATTCACAAAATTATAAAATTATTGATTTTATTTTTCAAAACATGAAAAATAGATCTTATAATTTTTTTTTATTTTTAAAAAAATCACGTGTATCTTTTTTTAGTTTTAGAAAACCTGGTAAATTTTTATTTTAAATTTTGGGGGAGAATTTAATATATTATATATATAGATGATGTTGAGGGTAAATAATACGTGCAAGAAAAAGATTGAGCATTAAGTATACAGCTAATTCAACCTCTCAATTGAAGTTAAAATAAATAAGATTCGTTGAAAATTATTTTTTTGAAATTCAACCAAGAATTGATAAATGTCATTAAAAAAAATATCACAAGAAAATATGCTTAATTAAAAAAAAAACAAAAACAAAAAACAAATGATTGCATGCAGGTTGCTAATTGATCAAATTTGGGAGAAAAATATCAAATTTTATCATAATTTTATCGATTGCTTTTATTTTATCATTTTTATAATTTTTTTTTTCTTTTTCATTTTAGGAAACCACGTAATTTCTTAGTTTTATTTTTTGTAAGGAAACCTCATAAATTTAGCACCTAATTTATTTGGGGAGTGACTTTAATACATGACCTATATCAGGCTAGGGGAAAAAGAATACGTGTGAAAGGAGATACCATAATTAACGCTTGCCAAACCCTTTTAAACATTTTATTAGTCGTATACATATATCTTTACTAGTTGAACTATATACGTGATATTCTGTCGCATATATGGTCTTGGTAGATGATACTGATCAACTTACATCACCACATACCTATCTTGAACTTCACTATCTCAAAGATATTTAGTCATGAATTATAGTTTACTATATATATCATATTTGGTCTTTTATTACAGACAAATATCTAAATATTTGCCTTCGACTTACCATAGGCATCTTCTCATTTATTGCTCTTTCCATTTATTATTTTTTCCATAATTTATCTGATTATAAATTTAGAAATTTCACACTACTATTCTTTCCATCTCCCCATTTATTGTTCTTTTCATTTATTATTTTTTCCCTAATTTATTTGATTATAAATTTAGAAATTCCACAATTTCTGTGTAATTTATTTGATTATAAATAGAGAAATTTTTCACTATTATTCTTTCCATTTTCTTATAATTTATTTAATTATAAATATAGAACTTTAAGGGTACATTATCAAATTATTCAATTATTGCTGCTCTTAATTCCTTTTATTTACTGACCAATGGTAATAGTGAGAATGGAAGAGAAAGATGGGATCTTACAAAATTAGAATAGGCCTAAACTTTTGAAGGGTACCAAAAGGATATTCCCAAAGTAAAATTATGCAATATTTTTGGGTATAATATGAGAAAAAACAAAGGATTAAAGCCCTTCAAGGTGGGGTGTTAAACCAACCAATGGACAACAAAGTTGATACAAATATACTACAAAAGTAAGGGTTCTTTATTCACCTACACTTTTGTTCAAATGGGAATTTAATTTAAAAAGAAAAAAAGAAAAAAGAAAAAAAGAGTTTTTAAATTGATCCATAAAAGTTTGTCACAATCCAAAATGTGCACCAAAAAGAAGGCCCCATGTATAAGTATTATATTGCGGAGGACACGGTTGGTTACCACATCGATCTCCATAAAGAGCCCTTCCCACAACCTTATTTTTCCTTAATTTTTTAGGGGCTTCGGAGTTTGGCGAAGCCCCCACGTTTGAGCCATTTTCCCACCCGTTTTTGTCTTCTTCGGTCTCTAAAGGGTTGGCGTTGAATTGAAAAACCCTTTTGGACCCAAATTCTATTGCTCTTCTTCTTGTTCAATCTCTTCCTACTTGACTCCTTCTTTTACATCTCCACTCCCTTCTGAATTTCTGGGTTCTTTCGTTTTTTTCTACGTTTACTTCTTATGGTATGAATCAATGCCGTTTCAGTAACGCTGTGGTTTTCGTTTCTTTCATCGTTTCATTTGACTGACTATTTCCATTTTTCTCTGGTTTTGATTTTGTGTTGAGTTTTGACTGTTTCACCCCAAATTTCTGAATTCCAGATCTGGATTTTTCATTTCGTATTTTGTTCTTCTCTGGTGTTGAATTTAGTTGAATGTTTGAGGATTAGCAGATTTTCATTATCCGTTTGACTTTCAGGTGCAGCATTCTGTGAAATGACAAGAAGCTGCTAACGTTTGATGAATCGAAACCAATGATAGGGAGGAAGACATCGCCAGGTTTTCTGGTGCTATTGGCTCTTGGCTTTTTTTTTGCTTCTTATAACTTGCTTACCATGTCTGTACGCTACAAAGCTTCGAAAGGGAGTGAGTTGTTTGATCCAGTTGTTCGAGCACCTGGTGGAACAGACCGGGCAGGGAAAGGTATTCAAAAATTCCATGTTGCTGTCACTGCAACTGCTTCTACTTACAGTCAATGGCAGTGCCGGATCATGTATTATTGGTATAAGAAAGTGAAGGATATGCCTGGATCTGACATGGGCGGCTTCACTCGAGTTCTGCATTCAGGACTTCCAGATAATTTGATGAAGAATATTCCAACTTTTATTGTTGATCCTTTGCCGGAAGGCTTGGATCGGGTGAGGAACATTGTTTTTTTTTTGTCTGCTTGATCTTATGTCCTGTTCTGTTTTGGTGTTTTTGTGTTTGGCTGACCTTAATGAACTGAATTTTAATGAAAAATTCAGGGCTATGTTGTTCTAAACCGACCATGGGCTTTTGTGCAATGGCTGGAGAAAGCAAACATTGAAGAAAAGTAAGATGGTTTCTGAGTTTTTTCTGCTAAAGATTTTCCTTTCCCTTTGATGAAATCTGAGGACTGGTGATTTTTGATTGATGCAGTTATATACTAATGGCAGAACCCGATCATATCTTCGTTCGGCCGTTGCCGAACTTGGCTCACGGGAAGAATCCGGTTGGATTTCCGTTCTTCTACATAAGGCCAACTGACCATGAGAAGATCCTCAGGAAATTCTATCCAGAGGAGAATGGTCCAGTGACCAACATTGACCCCATTGGCAATTCTCCTGTTATCATCGAAAAGGTAAACTTCTGAATTAGAACAACAGCCAAGAAATGAAATTGTACCTTCGATTCAAAGTCGAGTCGAAGTTGCTATAATATATTGAGCTGCTTCTTCAACTTGGGATGATCAATAGTTCTGAATCCACTGACTGAGTTTTCTGTATTAGGGGCTGCTGGAGGAGATTGCACCAACATGGGTGAATGTATCCTTGAGAATGAAAGATGACCCCGTTACTGATAAGACGTTCGGTTGGGTGCTCGAGATGTGAGTTCTTCTGAGATTGTTACTTCGGATCGATGTAACCGGGTTTGATCTTTGTATGACTTTGTTCATGTAGGTATGCTTATGCTGTAGCTTCTGCATTGCACGGTGTTCGGCATACGCTCCGCAAAGATTTCATGCTGCAGGTTTCACCTATTTTGATCCATAAAGTGGTTATATTTTGGAGCCATGAACAGATTATTGACTTCCTGTGCTTAAGTGTTTCAGCCTCCTTGGGACTTAGAAGTTGGTAAGAAGTTCATCATCCACTATACCTATGGATGCGACTACACTATGAAGGTACAAGATTATTCTTTAGTTATCAAAGAATTTCATTACTAATTCTAAGTAGTCTATATCTTAACTCGTCTTCTAATGGCCAGGGAGAGCTGACATATGGTAAGGTCGGGGAATGGCGCTTCGACAAGAGAGCATATATCAAGGGTCCTCCACCAAGAAATCTTTCCTTACCTCCTCCGGGAGTTCCTGAAAGTGTAGTAAGTAATCTGTAACCTAATCTCATCTTCTGCAGAATCTATTTGATGAGATTTGGTTAAATTTTCGAGTTTACAAGTCGATTCTCTCGAGAAAAATTGCGCGAACTTCTGTAAGTTTATGGATGTGTTGCTCTGATTTGGTTTTGCAGGTAAGGCTTGTAAAGCTGGTAAATGAGGCAACTGCAAATATAGCTGGTTGGGGGGACGCATAAACTGGTGTGGTTGATGGGAAGTATACACTGTTAGGAGCAAAAGCTATGGTGGGGTTCTGATCAAAGTCGCCCAAATACAAATCAGTTTGAGAAGAGAGAAAAATATAGAGAGGGGAATTGTAACCTATGAAAAATAAATATATATATATATCTATATTTTTCAACCAAACTTTTGAGATAAACCACGTAATATACCATTAGAGGTTCGAATTCTTCATAAATAAATTGATCAACTTGAACTATTCAGACGGTCAAAGGTTCGAATTCTTCATAAATAATTAAATATTATAAATTTTAAATGAAACTCTTTTCACGAGGTATATATCAAAAAATATTTTAAATCACTCGTTATCTTTTAAAAGAAAAAAACGAATTTCATCCATAAATGGATGAAGGATAAATGAAAGGGAGGGCCCTTTAAACGGCTCCAATCACCTGAAGGCCGTTACAAATTCCATGCAAAAAATTTATTTATTGGACCGCCAATAATGCCAAAGAAGCCAGTCTGTAATTCCCCCTCCAGAGTTTCGGTTTTGTTCCTATTGGGGATTGGGGCTTTT